TATTTTTTAAACCAATAGATAAAAATTTCTAAATATAAAATACACACGTATTAGTTCACTATTATGACATAAGTTGAGTTGTTGGCGTAATGGTTGTGGATGTGATATTTCATTTCAAATGCCCAAGTTCGAATCTCTATCTTTGCACATTAAAGAAAAAAAATTGCTCTGGACTTTGTAACAAACAAGTTCATCCTTGAAGCAGTTCCGATTTCATCAAAATTCGTTCGGTTTGGCTTGTATTGAGCGGTTCAACAGATTTTTACTGATTCGCTTGCTAAATGTATCAATTAGAGCAACCTGACTAGAACATAATCCGATTTGCCAATTTTCGAGCCTGATCGACCTGTTCGATTCGATTTTAATAACTATGCTCAAATCACAGAAACACCACGTGACATGGACAATAAAAGGCACGTTTGAATGTCATAGGACTAGACCTTGACCACGGTCGTCCCTTAAAAGGCATGGTTGTAGAAACGAGTAGAGTAATGCTCCATCATGGGGCATGGATGTACCTTAGCCTTAAAAGGCACGACCAATAATGAAGTGGTCAAGCATAGCTCAAACTCTACACAGTTGAGCCATGCTTAGATATTGTTAATCGAGAAGGTCTGAACTTTGGTCGATTCGCTTTGTCAAAACAATTATCGAATAAAGTCAAGCCCCTTCTAATAGCTAGAACTCCAAACACTTGCCATGTGAAGTACACATTTTTTTGCCACCAAATCATCGAACTCCCTTCACCAACTCAAGGACGTGATTGCCATGTGTGATCTCAATGAGCTATACACGTTTCACCTAACTAGTTGTCTATAAATAAGTGTCTTCATACAGTAAAAAGAGGCTTGAGAGCCTTTCACGAATACATTCTAAACATACTCTCCGGATGCGCACGCGCACATGCACACTCCCGTCTCCATGTATACAATCTTCATACAGATCACATCGTTTCTCTGGTGAATTATCCAACAAACTAACATAGTGATTATGAGCGGATTTAGAAGGGGTGTAGGCGTGAAAAGTTTTAAGCTTTTTTTTTTTATTTTACAAAGTCAAATTTTTTTAACAAGCTTTGCCTTAATTTCGTGTTTGAACAATTCAAATTTTATAAGCTATCTATTTATAAAAATAGTGCAAGTGTCATGCCACGCCCTTTCTCATTACAAA